GGGCGGTATCCCATACTGAGATTCTCTCATTTCCTAAAGCACAGCAGGATATGAAACGTGGAAGCGGCCTCTAGTGAAGGGCAGCAGTATCGCCGAAAGGTGGAATGAAACCGCCGCCTCTAATCGGCTGTGAGAATTCGGCGAAGATGAGTTCTGGAGTCTGGTGGCATGAGTTTATAGGCTTTTTATGTTTATGTTTTCTTTCTGCTGAAGGGTTGGAGGGCAGGCACCACGGCGCTGGATTTCGAATTAGGGTTGGTATTAGGCGAGAGGGGTATGATTTGATTCCCCTCTTTCCCGTGATCCCGTCTGCAAAGAATCTTTATCCTTAGTTCAGTCTTCTCATCATTCTTTTTTTATCTATCCATGTAAATCTTCTCATTACCTTTTTTAACAATTACGGAGTAAAATATTACTCACTCCGTTCCCAATTTGATTACAAATTGTGGGTTACGGAGTAAAATTTTCTAGTTTTTGAAATTATTTTATTTATAAATTGGTATATCAATAAAATATAAAAATTACATATTAAAAAACTACGTCAAAAGTTCTACAAAACAATAGGTGACAAGAATATTTTATTTTATCATATACTTAATGAAATCGCATAAACAAACAAAAGTTATCGAAAGGAGAGAGAAATAAAAATTGTAATCTATTTAGGGACAGAGGGAGTACAACTATCCTCACTTTATTTATTACACTTCACCAACCTCATTTAATACACTCTACTCATTTTCATTAAGGGTATTATGGTAAACTTTCACCATTTTTCAACTTTCCTTAAAAACCACAAAAAGTCAAAACGAGAATATCTTAGGAGGACGGAGGGAGTAATTTTTTCTTTTTACATGTAGAATATTTTTTTTAGGAATGTTTTTCTTCCTTTCTCCTTTTTCTTTCAATAGACTCTTACTCGTGGAGTAAAATTTTTAAAAAAATATTAAAAATCATTTTATGATTTTAGCAAGATGTATATCGGAAAAAACAAAACCAACATAATTAAAAATGGTTGGAGAGACTGAGAACCCAAAAGCATTGTCGTTTGAGCATGCATGACATTTTACTTCTTCACGCCACTCCTCATTCAACTCCTTAGCCACACAATTCTCTGAAGGATATAATTCACATTAGATAGATTAAACCAAATAAACCTAATTTAAGAATGACAAAGAGAACTTCAAAAAATGGTTGGTGATGTCTAACCTAAATTAACATGTCTACTTTTGTATGTTTTTGGCACTTGTCCATTGTTCATCTTTTGATTACGCCTTGGTGTACCATAGGTGGACGTTGACTATAAAGAGAAATCCATATTGACGGACTCTGGTGTATGCCGAGATTGGGAACCAGAATCATCATGTTTTCCTTGTTCATGAAAATCATTTACTTCCGCCTAACTATAAATTTCTCTATATGTCATATAACGCTCTAATTTAGCAAGCGATTGAGAATAAAGAATAATAAAATTCAAGGGAAAGAACAAAGAAAGTTAGAAAGTGATTACCGAAAGTAACACCTCTACTTTTGTACTTCTTTGACAAATGACCCATGTTGGTACTTGGACAATACCCCGTTGCACCGTTTCTAGACTTTGAAGCTAAAGAGAAATTCATATTCATGAAATGATGTGTCTTAGGATACTGCAAATTTTGGGATGTAAAATTTCATGTGATCGAGGGTAAATTTATAAATAGATTTCGCAAAACATTTTTATCACCTTGCTTAACACATCTGAAAGGGCAAATTTATTACTTTAATAAAAAGTAATTTAATAAAAAGTGATAGTGTTTTTTTGAAATAGGAAAACATGAATTCGGATGTGTTTCATAGAAACAGATAGAGTATCAAACATTAAAACAATTATCTCGAAGTGTCAAAAATTATTTAAATTAAGTATTGAAGTCATCCCTAAGAGTGACATAGTTTGGGATTGAAATTAGAATTTTTAGTTCTTTAAATACCAAAATAAAAATTAATATTAAAAAATTAATATTAAAGTAATACTTTATATATCGTTTAGCCTAAAGTTAGGCATTATGCTCACATATTTGTCGACACTTCCGTTGTCTCCAATTTACGCCTCACATCTCAGTCGCTAGATTTTCGTTTCTTCCGTTGTCTTTCTCTCATCCTCCCCCAAACTTTATATTCATGACTTTAGTCTCGTATTCAAATTAAATCTCCATCTTGTCGATGTCGATGTTTCTTAATTATCCAGTTCTGATAACTTGTTTTCACCGTCAAATTACTTAGTTTTTTGGTTTGTTCAATCGAGGATCATATTTTAAATTATTAAATCCAACTTCAGATAATAGCTCGAGAGAGGAGATACAGGCTCGATGATCATTGATCTGAAGTTTTCACATATTCACAATGATGATTTTTAAACATTATTTGTTGTTTTTGTGATATTTTTATAATTTTCGCCATAAGATCTATAAATCTGAATTACTTTACTACAAGCCAGATCTCATATGTTTTCTGCGTGAAAATGGACAATGAGTGGATATTATTTTGAAGTAATGTTTGATATTCACTACTTAAATGTATTAGGAATAATACGTGTATTAGAAAATAGATTATTATTATTATTTATTACTTTCCTACTTAGATTAGAATTCTCTATTGTAATCTATGTATATAGAGACATATCCTTCATTATTCAATAAGACCAATTATTATCAAGCCGTATCATGGTATCAGAGCTAATAACGTTCTCAAAAACCTAGCCCTTTCTTTTTCGACTGAGCACATCGCCAGTCTCTCTTCATGGTAGTCAACCGTCCAACAGCATGGCATCACTGATTGATCTCGACGAGTGTGTTTAATAGCCGCCGTCTATCTCTCTCTTTCTTTCCAAAAAATCGATTATCTCTCTCTCTTCTAAAAAATCATGTGTGTGACCGAAGGAAGGGAAAGTTACATTTGTATATTTCTTTTTCTAGAGATCGAGAGCATGGAAAGCGAAAGAGAAGTAGAAAATGACCCAAAATGAGAAAAAAGAAACTCCTCTCCGCATCCCTTAATCCAATTGCCAACAGTCTCACTGGAAAAAACTCAGTAAAACGTAATTTTAAACTTGCTCGTCATGCAACAAAGATCTCACTCTCTACTTGTGGAGGATATCCTCACAAAACTACTTTCAGTGGCTCAATTCTAGTATATGTGTTCCAAGTTGCTCCTCTTTACTGATGATCCACTTGCGGGGGAATATTAGGAATAATAGATGTATTAGAAGATAAAATATTATTATTATTATTTATTACTTTCCTTATTGTGTTGTTACTACTACAATTCTTCCCCTACTTAGATTAGAATTCTCTCTTGTAATTTATATATATATGGATGTATCCTTAATTATTCGGTTTTTCGTCAACTCATCACGTCATTCAGGAATATATAAGTTTTTGGTAAATAAATTCAAGTATATAAATTTTTAATTTTTATATTGAAATTGAGATGCTGCATCCTTGTGGCATTTTAAATCGACGGAAATGGGATCTTTTCTTCCCTTGTTTGAGTTAGACCAGAAAAAGGGTTTAACATATATCTCAAGTAAATAATATCCTGGTTGTTATTTTAAGTGAGTATTTATTAAATTTATTTTTGTGGTGAGGACAGAAAAAGGGTTTCACATGAACCCTTTTTTACTACTTAATTTTTTATATTATAAATATGAAAATACAAAAGAATTCTTATTTGTTATTTTTAGTTTTATTGACAGAGTTCGTCCCGTGAGAGTAAGGTATTCTATTAGAGCACTGGAAATACTCGTGAAGCCCCGGGGCTTCAAACCGGGGCTTCAAACTCTCTCTCTCTGCCACGTCAGCTTTAACTTACACCAAAAATTCACTGGAAATGGGTTTGAAGCCCCGGGGCTTCAAACCTTCATTTTTTACATTTTTAAATATATATCTTCTAAATTTAAATTATTAAATTTTAATTAATTTATTATTTAAATTAATCAAAAGGAGATTAGTACATTAAAAAAATTACATTCATTAAAAAAATATTACATTCATAGAAGAATACATTCATAAAAAAGTTTCATTCATTAAAAAAATATCACATCCATAAAAAAATAACACTACAAAGAAATTACTAATTATTCGAGCAACTAAAAATATCTTCATTCAAATTCGAGTTATAGTAAAATATTGCAAACTGAAATAATTCATCAATTAAAAAATACAGTCAATAAAAAAAGTATGTTAAATTTAACAAAAAACAAAACAAAATTACATTACTAAAAAAATTTGAACAAAAAAATACTCCGTATTACATTAAACAAAAAAATATAGAGTAAAAAAAATTATGTGTGTATATTTTTTTAAAGGGAGAGTGGGGAAGGGGGGGGGGGGGAAAAGAGTTTGAAGCCCGTTAAACAATTGAAGTAGAAGAGATGAAGCCCGGATGAAGCCCCAGGGGGGCGGTGTTTAACGCCCCATGGGCTTCAAAAGTAGCATAACGCCGAGTGGCGTTACATGTATTACCAGTGCTCTTAGTGCTATATATGTTCCCTTCTCTCCCAAGCTAACCATCTCTTACAAATTTGCTTATGAATGTTTTATTATGATGCATGGTGCTGACTATTATTGTTTCTCATTAATTTTTTTAAATTTATTTACGTTACTTTATACTCCCTCCGTCCCACTATATTTGTCCACTTTCATTTTTGCACACCATCCAATGCATTTCTTTAATCCATTTTATCTTGTAATTTGTATATTAAAAAATTATAGAAATTATATATTAATAATCTATATGTTAAGACAAATCAAACAAGATCACACATGACTATATTTAGGCTTACACATTGAGAGAATTTGATGAGTCAAAGTGCTTAGATGAACAGTTCTAAAAGTCAAAAGTAGACAAATATAGCGGGACGGAGGTAGTATGTTTGAATGCAAATGGTGTCATCAAACACTAATGTACATTATGTTTTTACTTTACTATGTTTGTTTTTGTAAGTTCGTGGGGGGCACAACAGATAACACCAAACATAAGCTATGCAAACAAAACAATCAACTATGTTGTAGAGAATATGCTGGAACACTGTCTGTCACAAGCACACGCGTAAAATATAAAGTAAAAACAGCAAGCAAGACACCAGAATTGTTCACGCAGTTCAGAGCAAATTCTCCTACGTCTGCAAGGCTCACGTCCGTGTAATAGCTCTTCCACTAAATCATCGTAAGAATTACACAATCAATCACAACAGAACCTTCTAATGTATTGATTTGTCTACTTACGAATGACTTGACGACAAACTCGGTTTGCGTCTATCTCCACGGCTAGTTACACCTCCTCAAAGATCTTCAAGGACGTAGATTCCAGTACACCTCCAAATAAAGATTCTTCTTGATCTGCAAAAATATGCAGGCTGTTTCAAAGCTCATATCTCGAGATTGAACCGTAGGAATTCGATCTCCACCGTTCAGATTGAAGCTCCACGAGTCCTTAGACTCCTCCTAAAATTTCAGCACGATCGAACAAGATTTGGTACTCCAACCATACAACTTGTTCTTCAGCTTGTTCAAAAATGAGTCACAATCATACAACTTGTTCTTCAGCTTCTGATAATTTTATTGCATGTCATATCAGATATCGCGATCGATTTATCGGAAGATCTGTTAGCAGGGAGGTATGGTTTCAAGAAAGTTTAGAAATGTGGATGGCTGACACTAGAGGGCCATAAGTGCTCTGGTAGGGAATGCAGCAAGTTCCCTTCCCAGCCCAGAGAAAGTGAATGTCCAAGACATTGTTGGTCACATTTGCCCTGAATTTCTTCAACAATGCCTTCTTAGATCCCCCGGCCTCGTCTTTAATGCTGAAATCTTGAGCAACTCTTTCCCCCTTTGGTTTAAAGTGATTTAAGATCAGATCATATTATTGCCGTGTACCAAATAGCAAACAGAAAATGGTACAGAACTAAGAATACCTGAATGTAGATGTCAAATAACCGCCTCCCGAGGCCTTTCCAGGACTTTGGAGTATCATCCATTTGTATTTCAGAAAAATGAAGATCAACATTGTATGTGCCATTCTTTAACCCAAGACCAAAATACCTCAATGAGCTAGGAGATATCCTGGCTGTTTTGTAGAGTTCAGAGCCTAAAGTGTTTGTGATCTGAGAATCTGTATAGGCCGTATATATCTGTCCATTTGGGTTGTGGATGAGTATTCCAGAACTGCTCACTGCCCAGTGATCATTCGGGCCCATGTACAATGATGCTGGACCCAGCGTCTCCGAATCATCTTCAAATTGAGTTCCTGGCACTGACACTATTTGCTTTCCACCAGAGTTGATCGAAAATGAAGCTGCATAAACATATTTGGTTCCATTGGCATTGACTCATTCATTTAACTGGTTCAATTGGTACAGAGGAGTACTTACATGCTGATGTGTTTCCAGTGCACACCCCGTGTTTGATTAGGCAAAAGCTATAAGTTTTTTACAATAAGCAAAGAAGTCACAATCTATTACCACCTTTTAACAATATAAAACTTTTCATGATAGTGGTGTAGCCAACACTTAATATTGGCCCAGACCAAGTCAATATAATGCATTCAAATAAATTTGAGTAATGCGAAAAGAGTTTACAAAACACTGCATGCCTTGAAAAAATCATTATTCCAAATAAAGATTAGTTGACCACTTTGTTTCAACTGTTTTCTTATACCAATTTGCACAGTAGGTTTACATAAAGAGAAATAATTTAGACAGGATCTGGGTGGGCAAAAGCTTGTTTTAACTAAGGTTTCAGCGTTTCACACAATTCCACTGTAGCGACGTAAAAATATACTCTGTACATACAAAGAATTAAATAAACCAGAATTGACGTAGACTGGGCCTGTACATGTATTGCATTAACATCAGGGTGCTAAAACTAGTGACATAAAATTTGGCCGAGGCAGGTGCCTAGCCACCCTGGGCTAAAGTGAAGGGCCCTTTTAAGGCTTTGTGAGAACTAGGCGCTTGCTCGGTGCTGTGAATGTCTTTGATTCTTTGGTATATTAAGACAATAAGACTCATAAAATCATTAAGTTATAAAAATCCTTACGAACGAAATTTATGAGGGACAAAATATGCAAAACATATCTTGTAAGAAACTTACAAAGCTAGATGTAATATTTAAACATTTTTATATTTATATTATAAATCATAAATGTAAAGCACGAGTTCTCACTATGTCTAATACGAAGTACTCCGTATGTGTTAATGTTATAAAAGTGCGCGAGTATCTTATTGCAAGGTAAATAAATATTATTTTAAAGTACGTCCAAAAGCTACTCCATATTACTTCAAGTTATTTAAAAAATACTCTGCAAAAGATCAACAAACTGAATCAGGAAACCCATATTGTACTGGATATGTAAATCTACCAAATGCTGACTCTAAGATTTACCTCATGTTAAGTGACCTGTCGCCAGAGATCATAGTACCAACTGCATTTCTGCAAATAGAATTTTAAAAAGTAGATGAAGATATGTTTGCCCATTTAGATGGTATCAAAAGTTCAAATCATAGTTATCACGGCGCCAAGTCGAGGCGCGGCGACGCCTAGTCAATTAAGCGACACATAATATAGGAGAATTTCTATACATTAAAAACACTAATATATATATATATATCAAATTATATATTGTAGTTGGTAAAGTTTAAATTTTTTGAATACATCAAAGTTTAACTACCATAGTTACTTTTAAGTACTTTCTTCCAAAAAAAAGTTGAAAAAAAACGTTACTGACTTAAGTAGGTAATAAATTAATCATTTGAAATGTAAAGAATTAAGCACCGAGTATTAATTAGGAAGACAAAGTAGAAAAATAACATTAACTTGCAAATAAACAAATTTATAAAGCATTAAAAAACAAAGCACTCGAGCTGAGGGTATAAAACACTTAAAATAATAAAGCACTGGAGTAAAAAAACAAAAGTACTCGACTTGGCGAAGTTAAGTTGCCTAGGCAAAGAAAGGGGAGGCCAAGGGGACGCTTAGGCGAGGCAAGCTCTCATGGCCTTAGCTCTAACCATTTATTTTTGAAAGTTGAGTAGACTCACAGTGACAAATGTAACTTATCAGGATGGATCGTTCCAGAAATCTGGTTGAATGAGACATCCCTGAGACAAGGCAAGAACATTAAGAGAAGAAAATAAGATAAAACTTTAGATTCCTCTCATTAAAATGCTTTCTTTGTTGATCAAAAAACACAACTAACGCTAAAAAATCATATGAATGTAAATGCCTTCTTCACTACTTTCACAAGGACAGACATACAGCGCAATAAGTGTTGAATTTAGGATGTTTGCAGATAGCTCTCCACTCAACTCATTGCTTCCAAGATACCTGAGAAAGAAATCTTTCATATCTAACCAAAAATATGCCCCTCATTCAGAAAAATATTCTACAACTTGAAGTCCATTACTTCTTACTGCCTGGTAAAAAAAGAAACTGTTGTAATTATTTTTAGTAAATAGTCTGAGAGAAGAGAGCTTACAAGTACTCTAAAGTGGCAAAGGCTTTATATGAATCTGGTATTTCACCTGTCAACTTGTTGAAGCTCAAGTCCCTTAAACAAAGGAAAATCAGACAGAACAGAATTACTTCCATTGTGAAACGATAACATTCTTAGTATATGAATAAAATAGACTGGATAGAGCTGCAATGGAAACAAATAATTGGTACACATAAAGAAAATGAAGGCTCTGAATAAAATTACTCATTCAAAAAAAAACTTACAAGGTTTTCAGGTTTGCAAAGGTACTAAGCCATTCTGGAAGTCGACCAGTTACCCTACAATTTCTTAATGATCTGCAAGTACGGAGAGATGTACAACTTGTTCAGTGTGCCCCAGATTTGACAAGAAAAAAAAACATCACACTCAAAGCTCAAGTAACTGAACATGTATTGATCATACAATATAGAAAGACTGCTCAAGTTCTTTGTGAAGTTCAGAGAAGTATCTGCATTGCTGAGATCACCAATTCTCCTGCAGAGATATATTCAATTTCAGAGTTTTAAACTTGAAATGCTTAGGGCATTAGTGATGAAGAAATATGTCAAAAACATGTATAAATCCCAAATTCTATATTGAGAAATACATACCTCCGTCAATTTAAACAATTAAATATAATGGTTTATAAATACGGAGTAATTAAATACATAGGACCTTTTCACTAAAAAAGTACAAAGGACAATAACTTATAGACACATTTTTCTTTCTTTGATACTGATGCAATCTTCCTTACAAGTCATCTAGCTTCCTTAGTGCACCATAGCTGTTCGGTATAGGGCCTTCCATAAGTGTTCCTTCCAGTCTCCTGTTGATGACAATGAATGGTACATCATCATATGATTAAGCAAATATTGCACTTAAGAAAACCAGAAGTTAATTCAGATATATCAAACACAAAATTAAGTATACAGGACTGAGAGATCTTCAAGATTTCCAATGAATTCTGGTAGCTTTCCAACAAAACGATTGTCAGACGCCCATCTGAAACATGAGAGCAATGTGTAAAATCAATCAGTTTGGCATTAGGTTTTCCATAGAAAAAGATTTGACCATGCTTTACATAACAATGGTAGTGTCATGCTTACAGTTGCTTTAGAGATTTCAATTTTGACAGATCTTGAGGAATTAATCCACTCACTCCACTGCTATCGATATACCTAAATGATCACAGACAAATGTCAACTCAAATGAGAAAAGTAATATTAATTACCATGTAAGTTGTAAAGGGCATCTTACAGCTCTTCTAAGGAAGTTATGTTTCCCAGTTCTGGCGGCAAGGATCCATGCAGACTGTTTGAGCTGAAGCTTCTGAAAATGAGAATGAAAATGATTCAGATATTGGGAAAAAAGTATAATTAATAAAGGTATATATATATATATATATATATATATATATAAAGAAAATAATTGCTCTGCAATACTTACAATGAAATCAAATCACTGAGATTCCCCAGCTCGTAAGGAACTGGACCGGTGAGGTTGTTAATCCCTAGGCTCCTAATAACCAAGAGGATGAGCAAATTGGTTTGAACTTTACAGTTTATATCAACACAAAAAATTCGAGTGTTATAAAGGAATAGTACACACAGGTATTTCATTTTGGACAGCTGCCCAATTTCTGCTGGGATAGAGCCATTCAAAACATTCTGACCCAAATTTCTAAAATAATTCCAAAATGCCATCAAGATGAAACCAGATTAGAAAATTACTAAATCACAACAAAAAAAAACGTGAAATAAACTAAAACACAGATCACCTACAGGTCCATCAGTTCTGTAAGCACAAACAGTTCTTTTGGAATCTCTCCAACAATATCTAAAGCATATATTTTCCTGTTCAAACAACAAGAGCATGAGAAACACACTTAGGTTCTTAACACAAAATGCTAACAATAAATAATCTAGAGATAGGAAAATTGTCAAGTTTAACAATGAATTGGCTGACAAGTGGGTAATATGGCAGATAGTGGCAGAACAGTCGCAAGCAATCCTCGGATTAGCTTGTTCGTAAGACCAAGCTGCACTTCGATTGCAAGGGTCATGATTAGTGAGGTTCAACTTGGTTCCCAAATTCCAGTGATCAACTATCTTGTGAATTGCAACCACTGACCAAAAACATCCCCATTAACCTTAAATATCTTTCTACATGGATGTATAGCATAAAATAGAGGGGAAAAAAAAGCACATATATAAAATAATCACTACTCAATATCTACATATATATAAGCTTTTTAAGAACTTCATGTTATTTTCAAAATAACATCAGATTGCAATTTCACAGTTCATCAGTATTTGGGTCATGTTCAACTTGGGCATCACTATAGTGGAATTGACTTGTGCGAAATTGTAAGAAGGATGAACGCAAAACCTTCTTTTGGGTCTGTAAGTGGCTGTGAATCCTGTGATGCAACACCGTATAGCAGCCTAAGCACGAAGAAGGAGTAACAAAGAATTCTCATAACTGCAGTCTGCAGCTCAAGCAGCTCAAAGATTTGCTTTTATTTCCCTCTCTGGAGAAATCGGCTAGGTGTTTGATGAAGGCTACAATGATCTCTCAAAGATTGTTTTCAAGGAATTAAAAAATGGACATCATCCATATTGAAAGACGTACTCAGGATCAAGATCCACCAAACAAGGAGGCACAAGTCATGCCACAATCACGAGGTATATCAAAGGAAGTCAATGAGTGTGAAGAAGACATTAGACATCATCTTGGATGACCAATGATTACGTAAAATAACGAAGACATTAGCATAGTCCTTTGTTTCTGATCTAGAGAAAGTCCCCATAGCAAATGATCTTATATATGCTCAGCCTATTCCCTGTACTGGAAACCCACATGAATGAATGAAATCACTGCAGAATTTTCCCAAGATGAAGATGTTTGCTGAATTCATGTTAGGCGCTGTAGTGTAATTGTGTCCTGTGGGGGGTGAACTCCATCAATTTGAACTGAGCTTGAAAACAAATCAACTTGGAACTCTCTCGCAACTGGTGCGAACATGCCAATTTAATCACATTATCATTACAGCGCACAATCCATGAACAAACACTCCCTACACGCCATTTCTCGGCATCTACCACCAAAATTCGGCAAATTATAACCCAACTTTTACGACCTGCCAATCAAACAAAGCTCTCGCCTCTCAGAGAACAAGGGCTTGTGTTTCAGTTGCCAGCGCACCGGTCCAAAATCGGAATGGACCGGAAACGGGTTAGGCAGTTTTTCTAGGACAGAAAATTGGACCTATTTATTTTCGGTCCAGACCTGTTGGACCTGTTTTTTGCCGTCCTGTCCGTTTTATCCTGTTTTAGACCTAAACTTGTTTATACGGAGTACCTTTTTTTTGAGTAAATTTCACCAATGGTACCTAAATTTTAGCTGGAATTTTGAAGTGCTACCTAAACTTCAAATCCTTTCAAAAAAATCCCTGAACTTACATAATCCTTTTACTAATAGTCCATTTACCCGTTTCTAGGTTAACTTCCGGTCATTTTAGCCAAATTAGAATTTTATAGATTTTAAAATTTTCAATTTGACCCCATTTCTTCTTTTCTTTTCTTCCGCGCACCGCCGCCGGTTAAAGTCGCCGGAAAATGAACTTGGTCCGCTTCCGGCGGGACAGACGCCATTCTTTTCGTCTTGAGACGAGGATCAAGAATATTCAAACCATTTTGTCCAATTTGGCCTGTAACTCCTTGAATTTAAACGTTTTCACTCAAAAAACCCTAAAATCCGAAATTGGGTCCAAAATTGGAGGGTTTGCAAATCGTCATCAAATCTTACAATTGAGGGGTCCTTGGAGGTCGCCGTGATGCCACGAACACATTGGAGTGGATGACCGGCGTCAATTCCACCGGAGTTCGCTGGAGTTTGCAATCTTATAAATGAATTTAGAAGTTGTTATTGTTCAAAGTATTTAATAAAAATAGTACGTAGTAACAAATTCATCAAAACTTTATTTCTAACTTATTTAAATTTATAAACTACCATAAAAATGTAATAAACTAAAATAAAATATTTAAAAACTAAATATTGGAAATATGGAACTCATGATCTAAAATCATATGAACTGGATCTAATACTTTTGGGCTTGATATTAATAATGGATAAAATTCATATAATATATTCGGATCTCGAATGGAAAATTTCGGGTCAAACCCGAACCGGAAACCCGGAATCTCTAATTTGTAAAACCCGGGGACCGGACCTGAATCTTCTAGACCGGTCCAGACCGGTCCATTCCGGTCTGGTTCAGGTCCAAAATCCGATCCAGACCTATTTTGTACACCCCTAGTTGCGACAGAAAATGGTTTTAGAACCTTCCATTTCATTTACCTAAATAGCACTAAAATATAATTAAAATATAATGATTTTTCCTAAATAGCATCATATGTGTTTTTCCTAATGTATCATTTTTAGTCATTATCTATTAGTCATTATTCAAGTAAATGTTTGTAACACCCTAATGCGTCTAGGTCTGCAACCCGGCCCCTTTCGGACTAAAGTATTAGCTTGGTAATTGTAAAATTTAAAACATTTCAAATACTTTTTTATCACAATAATATTTTGATATCATAAATAGTACGGAGTTTTCAATATTGCGGAAGCTTAACAAATCATAATCACAAACATAATTTATTTATGTTCTTTAATTCAAAATCATCACATCCATTTTGACAATCTCGCCTCTATCTGCCTCCAGAATCACGTCACTTCATTCTTTCTAACTTGCGTGTAGCAAAGAAAACGTACTACACGTTCAGCGTTGAAGCTGAGTAAGCATATCTAATGCGTCGAACATCCATATAAACTGATTCTAAATTCATAATCAAATCATTTGATATGATGCACATAATGTTCAGTTCAGATATTCAATATCATTAGTCAATATTCATCATTCATTATTCAACATTTATATTCACATTCAACGTTCATCAGTCATTCATAATATTTGTAATATTCAATTCAATAATCATCATTCAATATTCATTGATATTCAATATTCAACATTCGACAATATCCTTAAACTATTCTTAGTCTAAGGCCAATCACTTTAATGTTTATCAACCCTTAAACGAATTCTAGTTTAAGATAATTAAACTATATTCCAGTTTAAGGTACTCCTAAATAATCCTTGAGTTAGGTCTAGTTTAAGATAAAAGGGGTTCCCAAAATATTAAACTTACCTTCGCTTAAGACCAACCAGAAACCGACAGCGTAGTGTTCACTGTTGGGTTGATTGGTACCCCCAAACGAGTAGGTACTCAAGTTTGGTTCCTGGATCCCGTACGTACGTTTTAACCTTGGCCACCGGGTATCATACCCGCAAGGCCTAACTTAAATGGGTATATCTTAGAGGTCTTCTAGATACCTTTCAGAATCAACAATACTATGAATATATATTAGAGTTATTCTAGATACCCTTAACAATACATATTATTTTCACAATCATCAATATATTCATTATGATTTAATCGTTCATAATTATCATTTTTAATCAGAATATTCATCAAGATTGAATCATCATAATCATCAATCAATAATCATCATCATAATCATCAATTAGTAATAATCAACATAATATTCAATAACAATTAGCGGCCTAACTTTGGGTGTTAACACACTAGCTTACCGTCATGCATCACACAAGATTTTATTTGTCAAAAAAACATCATTTTTATTATGAAAAATCATCTTTATAATAATCATAATCAATTGGTATCAAAAATAGGATTTTAGAGCTTAAGAATAACATTTTTAGAAATATTTTTTGGTCGGAATTTCGGGGGGATCGATCCAGCCCTCTGGATTGATCCAGGCTATGAAAAATACTCCCAGTGGATCGATCCAGACAGTGGTTTTTTAGCCACTGTTCATCTTCTTCTTTGTTTCGGGTCCAATTTTGAAAATACCATTTTTAGTCACCAAACTTCAATTAAATTATATAGGAATGTTCTCCAAGGTTCATAGATCATTTTGGTATCATTAGTTCATAGTTTTAACAACAATTTAATGGTTTATGATTCTTGGTTCTTCTAGCATGTCAAACACAAAATCCAACCAAACGACCGTTTTTGAACGTCGAATCGATCTATACGAACATTCTAGTCACTAGTAGGGGTGGACACGGTACGATTCTGGTACGGTTCCGGTACGGTTCCGGTTCCGAAACCGCCGGTTCCGGTACCGCCACCCCATGTCACCAGAACCGTCACCGTGCCGGCCGGTACCGGACCGGCCGATTTCGGCCCCCCTATATTTTTTTTTTTGCTTTTTTTAAAATTTTTAAATTATAAAATTGTAAATTTGCAATTGTTTAAGGAAAGAATGAAATAGGGGTGTTCATTCGGTAAAACCGAACCGAACCGAACCGAAATTTCGGTAAACCGAAATTTCGGTAATATTATATTTGTACCGAATACCGAACCGTATTGAATCGGTTTGGTATTCGGTAATACCGAAAAAACCGAAAATTTCATTTTATTTTCATCTATACTTCACTTTTTTTATTTTCAATTTGTACCACAAGCAATCTCGTTCAACATTTAAAGAAATTAGAAATACTTTATATTTTTAGCTATAGTTTTTCATATTATTAAAAGATTATCGAAACACTTGATTTTGATCTTGTAAAAAAATGAAATAAAAATAAAATAAAAAATTCAAAATATAAAAAGTATTCTATCAAAATGTTTAAAAGATCTTACCTTTAGCCACCGGTAATTTATTGCCCTACGAAGTGAGGTCAATGTATTGACCATTTAGAATAAATGAAAAAAAATTAAAGAAGAAAGAGTCAAATAGTAAGCATGAGTAAATTTAGCTAGATATGAAGTATTTTTTAAAAATTAAAATTGTCAATAAAAGGAAGGATAAAATAAGGTACACCACCATATAAGTTGCTAGAACTCAAGGTTAGAATTCAAACTTCAAAATATTTAAAATAATAAAATGAAGTAATAATTTGGTATTCGGTAAAAACCGAATTACTGAATTACCAAATCGAACCGAACCGAAAACCGAATTTTAGAAAAAAGAAAAACCGAATACCGAACCAAATTATTCGGTTTGGTTTTGGTACGTACCGAATTTTCGGTTTCGGTACGGTTCGGTCGGTTTACCGAATTGTGCACACCCCTAGAATGAAATAAAAAATCTAAAAATGTAGTTGTTATTTAAATATTTTAAATGAATAATACACTAACTGAAGAACAACCACATTTAATATCCTGACGGTTCAAAAAAAGCGACGAGGTAAAGAACCGTAAAGAAACCCTCGAAGGAGCTTATATATCGCTCACCTAAAAAAACTAATTACATATTTACATTAACATAAAAAAAATTATAACTTATTCTTCTGAACTCGGACTTCCATCTGTTGTTGCATTCATGTAATGCTCCGGTTCGAGTTGGTACAAAGCCTCTTGAGCTCGACGTCTTGCCAAGAGCCAATCTTGGTTGCAAACTAGTGTTTCAAGAGATTCAGCGCTAAGACAACTTCGATAGTCGGTTAGAATGTTGCCGCCAGCACTGAATTCCCGTTCAACTGCTACGGTTGATACCGGAACGAATAACACTTGTCTTGCTAGCATGCCGAGACATGGGAACATGTGTTCGTTCCGCTTCCACCATCCGAGCACGTCAAAATCCACGTCGTCCTCATCGTAATCGCATGGCACACCCTGGTACATAGTGTAATACCCCGTATTAAGATGGGAATGGGAAGAGCTCAAAAGGATTGATAGTACTACTCATACCAACAAGGTGCATCTTCTTTTCGAAAGCTTATCACCTAGAAACTCCAAAGTTAAGCGTGCTTGACTTGGAGCAATTCTAGGATGGGTGACCCCCTGGGAAGTTTCCTTGGGCGTGCACGAGTGAGGACAAAGTGCGTGGGAAAGACTTGTGTTGGTTTGTGGGGACAGTCTACAATCCTATGAGCGAACGCTTACGGCTAGGGTGGGGGTCGGGGTGTTACACATAGCAAGTTCGTTGTGCGAGCTTACTGTTGTACCACTTGAACTCGTCGAAGAATGAGCACGCTTCCCTTTCTTTGCAAGAAGACCACCG